TTGTGTAATAAATTACATAAATTTTAAATTTATAAAATACTAATTTTTAAATATTTAGAAGTATTTTTGAAAAATGATATCAATTATAATTTAATAAAAAGTTTTAAAAATAGTGAATTTTTTTCAAGTTAATCACAAGAATGTAATATGATATTTGATAATATTTCAGAATATTTTACAAATAATATAATTTATTATGATTTTTAGACTAAATAATAAAGATAAATATATTTAAAATTTATGAAAAGGAAAATAAGTATGCTTATGTCAAGATAAGGTCAGTGGTTTGACAAACACGAATTGGGTGAAGGTAGAGCTATGTTCAGTGATTCTTATATTAGTGATTATAGATGATTTAATTGATCAAATTAAGTTATATAAAAGTAAAAAAAATCATAATTTAATAAAAAATAATTTTGAAACTGAAAATCACACAAAATATCATCAAATTAAATAAATGTTGAGTTTTGGCCTCACAACAACAATCCTTAGAATTATGTGTATTTAAAAAGATTATTGAGTGATGTTCATAGACTTAATGGCTTTACTTATATATGGGTGACTTATGTATTTTCTAAATCTCTTTTTGAAGTTCAAAAAATGATGATAAAAGTTAAACTAATTAAAAATAGTAAAATAGAGTTCCAACGTCACAACAATGATGCATCAAAATCCTGAGTGTTTGAGGGAGATTATCATGTAAGGCTAATAGCCTCAAAAGCTTTCTTTAAACATATAGAATGTGGACAATCTCTAGATTTTTTTTATGAAGCATAGAAATCAATGAAGTAGATTGATGAATCGTTATTAATGGCTATCACCTAGTAGAGTAAAAAATAACAACTTTACGAATTTCTAATGACTATCACCTAATATAAATAAACTAGATAGAGGTGAGGTGTGCTTTAGGAAGCTTCATCCTCAAGTCTACATAGCAATAGAAGGTTGTTCGTCACATTTAGTATGCTCTTAGGAGGTGGTAATTTGTCTCGTGGTAGATCGTTCTCTTTCTGATGACGACTAGTTTGGTGATAAGTCAGAGATAATTTACCTAATGAACTTTAGATTCTTTTATCTAGGATCATTCGGTAATTGAGAGAATAATGCTCTATGAAATGTGTTGACGAGATTTTCAATGATTATTTAGCAATTTTGATGGCTTAATTGATGATCGGTACTCTACAAAAGAATTACGATTTAATCAGATAAAAATATCAGTTTTGATTATGATGAGATTTGAACCCTCATCAATCGCCTGCTTATATGAAAAAGTGTGAAATAAGTATGTAAATACTCTTATAAGATAATGTCATAAAGGTATATCTTTCTCACAAATCAAAGGTATTGTAGATATTAAAAATTACTAAAAAACCTTCATGGAAGTTGTGAGTGGGTTTAGTCCCACATCAGTTATTTTTCAAGTTATGAGATGAATATATAATAATATAAGATTTTTTAATCAATAACTCTCTCTCTCACACACATGTGTACAGTCACTCTTTGCCCTACGCCTGCTTGGCCACTAGTGATGTAAAAGAGAAGTGACGTGCACATGCCCTTTATTGATCCTTAGTTGATCGAGACTCCTACTTGTGGCTCTACTCGATTGTGCTTCAGACTCACTTGTAGGCCCAACTAGATGCTGGGTCTCATTTTTTTCTATATATATATATATATATATTATTTTATATTTATTTATATCTAAAATAAGATTATAAAAATTATATAAATTTATATAAAATCACATAATTAGTCAATAATTCACACTAACTAACTAAAAAATATTTTTCATAATTTCACATTTCTATAAGTTTATTTATCATGAGTTAAGACTTAAACTATTATTAATTAATTATTAACTCATAATAATGAAAACTTATCAATCATCCTCTTCAATAATTATATGAAGAATGGGTCAATCTCAATTTGGGTCATAAAGACTTTTTTTGTTTTAACTTGGGCTGATTTATTTAAAAGTGGTTTTTCGTTATTAGGCTAAGGTCACTTGCACATCAATGGAATACACTTAAATACTTTGCATCCTTAGCCTTTAATGGGTAAAGCTTGAAAAATTAATAAATATTTTTTCTTATAAGAATCATATAAAATTAAAATATTAATATTTTCATGATCTATTGGAAGTGCTGATTCTTTACATATTAACTTGCCATTAAATGCTTTGATTTCTGCAAGAAACATAAATTGCAACAAAATATGCATTTTTCTCATTTTGAATAAATTTTAGTTTAATTATAATTATGTAGCAATGTTATTAATTTCACAATTTTTGCTTGAGGTGATTTTACCCAAATATCTTTATATATCATCAAAATCTTATTGACTTCTCAAACTCAACAAATGTCACATCATGGGTTCATAATTGATTAGTGTGTGGCCACAAAGGGGTTGACTTGAGAAGAAAATTATGTGTCAAATAATATGGTCAACGATGATTTCATCAACACCACTTAATCGTAGACCTTATTCAAGATTTAATGGACCAATTAATATGAATTGCATGATCTTCTTTTATGTAATTTTACACCTTTAAGAACCTCAAAGGGGATGGTTTTTGGGCCAAGATGTGGAATGGATATATTATTAGCTTCGTCATTACTTGATGTTTGAAATGTTGATAGTCAGAAAATTGATGTAAACCATGTTTGTGTGAATGCTTTTGTGTCTACAAAAATACGAATTAATCAAATCCACAAGTTATTTCCATTCAATGAATTTATCGAAGTTTCATCAAAATATATCAATTAAGTCTTTGAATTAGTTTCTTCTTATGACTTAAGGATTAGTAACCAATGACTTAAAAATTATAACAACTATTTTTTAATGTAATTAAACTAACATAAAAAAGTTTTATATTAACTTTTGTTTTATTTTTCTACACATTATTTTTGAGGAAAGTATTGAAAGAGAAAATACACAAGTATTTTATCAATCTTTGTAACTATTAAACCTTGAATTAGCTAACAATAAACTAGAAAGAAAATTTCACAAAAACATGCACTTAATAGTGGTACTAGGAACAAACTTGGCTGTCACCTTCTAAAATTGTAGTTCGATTTAGAACTTTTGTCATGTGAAAAAAAAGAAATATAATGTTTCATGGGTACCAAAAATCCCATGAAAAGTAGTCGATTTGACATTTGAATAATTTTTTATTCTTTCAATTACTTTTAGAAGTTTAAATTTCACCTTAGAAAATTATTATATAAAACATTACAAAAATAGATAGAAAAGGAGGGAGAGAGAGAGAGAGAGAGACCCAAGATCTCTTGTTTGCTATCTTGGTAGATATGAATGGAAGGTTGGCTTCTCCCTTGGGCATGTTCCCAATATTTGGATGAAGTGGATCCAAGATAAACATTCTCCTTTATTTGTTTTTGAACCTAAACCTCTATTTCTTTTGGTATGGATTCATGAGGTATTTTATCAAACCACAAAAAGAGTATATCACTCATCATATATTCTTATAAGGTCATTTATATTCAGCTCATCCATCAATTTAAGATTTGCAACATGACGTCTTTTGACACTTTTGAAATATGCAATTTAAAGGGGTAATACATTTGACATTTACTTTTTCACCTTTGACATTTGTTGTCCTTATGGTGCACTTTGGTTATTTGTACAACCACATATTAGGTATTCAAGATCCAATTTTTAATATTTTATATTTTATTTCAAGTTTATTTTTGGTGCCTTTTGTCAAAACATTTGGTATTAAAGAAAAGCTTGTGTTTCTCTTATGAAGTTGGTTTGTTTTAAAGACATCAATGGTAAAGTTTGAGGTTACGAAATTTGACAGGAATATTAATTTCGGCTATGCCAAAAGAGATTGAAGTACTTCACAAATCTCCTTCTATTAGCAAAAAATTACAAAGAATTAGGTGAGGAAGACTAGTATAAGTTAAGTTTGAATGTAATTATTATAATACAATTGTGTCTGGTTGAGGAGGTGATGTATAACATTGGCTATGTAGAATTTTTATTAATTTATGAAAAAAAAGAAATTTCGTAATGTTAAAAGATCCTTATAAGTCACATTTTAAGAAGAAATTCTGTAACTTAGATAAAAGGAATGAGTAAATATGTCAAAACATATGAATGTGCTTAGTAAGTTGACCTTTTAGTTTTGTAGTTTATATGTTAAAGTGGTGAAAGAAGATCATACAATTCTTCTCTGATCCTCATCTTAGTCCATTTAATATTTGGTGAATCAAGTCAAGAGCACGTCAAGGATTATTCTCCTTTAACTTTCTTTAACTTCAGTTATTTTCTAATGTTGATTGAGCCTCATTTTTTTATTCATGTGGACCATTCACTAGGTATTACATTTTTCTTAGAGCTTCGCTTATTTTTTAGTATGCTAAAAAATGACCAACAGTATCTTGATCTTCAATTGGCATTGGCTCTTACTACAGACAATTATCTAATTACAAAAATTATTTAATTTTTACATCACCAGACCTCTTTCGGCCAATTTTTGATATGAGAATTCTACGGGTGTTCACATTACTACTATCCCAACCTTTCAGGAGCGCACCAAACATGTTGAGATTGACTCATCAAACTTCTCTAGATTTGATTGTAATCTGAATTGACTGATATTCTTACAAGACCACTACCACCAGCTAATCGTATTTTCCTTTTAACTGTCCAAAATAACCGTCAATAATATTTACAACTTATCTTGAGGAAGAATCTTAAGAACAGCACACTGGTTCCCTGCCACGTGTGAGGTGCTTGATATCTTAGTGGGGAGCGACTGTTATAATTGGGAATATTTTTTTTCCTTTTCCTTTCTCTCTCCTCAAACCCTCTGCCCGTCTTTTGTAATATCAAGAACTGAGAGGATGCACGAACGTGATGATAGAGATAAGATTATAGAAGTCAGCACGAGGCTCAGATTAAATGGGAAGAAGGAATCATCTGATACGCGATGCTCAGCATGCAAGAAGAAAGAAGAGCACGGAGGAAGGGGGAGCCTATAGCCCCTCCGTGTTCCAAACCAGGGATGACCCCCTCCTTTGGAACTTGCAGGGCCGGAAGTTATTGATCGCCTTCCCCATCAACGCCATGGCCGCGAGGCTGGGGAACGGGCACCCTTCCAGCTTCTCCGGCAACGGCTCCACCCTCTCCACCTCCTGGCCTGGAGGCGGTGGTGTCAGCCGGCTCTTCCGGCTCCACCGCCGGATCCAGGGATGCGAATCCACCGGAGGCGCCGCCAGGGAGTCGCTGCTTCGCAGCAGAAGCATGGTCTTCTGGAACTGCCGTTGCTCCCGAAGGCACTTCGCCAGGGTGAACGGGTTCGACCGGCTGTAGTTCATCACACGACTGCACAGCCGCTGCTCCCTTCGGCCAGCCAGAGCGCTGGCGCCGCTGTGGCCGCCGGATCTTACCACCTTAAGCCGCTTGACCCACCTGCTCCTCTCCTCCTGGTCGGCATCTGGATGGTCTCCGACCAGGCAGCTGGGGTATTCCGACTTTGACTTCTCTGGTTTATCAGAGGCCGCACCCTCCACCGACACGCCGCCCATCCTCGACAAGGATGGGCGTCGGCAAGCAGCATAATCAACCGAGATCACCGGAGCCGAGAAGTCAACGTCTGCGTCAAGCGATATGGATCCTTGATCCCCGCTCGCAGCCTCCACCTGCAGGCCGAGAGCCAACTGGGGCTCCCTCCCCTGCTCCACCTGCACGAGAACCTGCAAAACCCGAAGAGGTCAACCAACGGTGCGACCAATGGGATCTCTCTCCTTGACGGGGATCAAGAACCAGTCTTTGAAGAGAGAGAGAGAGAGAGAGAGAGAGAGAGAGAGAGTACCTTCTCCTTGTGTCCGGGAGTGGCCAAACCTAGACAAAGGAGGACAACCCATTAATCCATCTGGGCACCCACCCAAGAAGCTCTGCATCAATAATACACCACACCCATATAGATGGATATATACGTACCTGGTGGAGATGATGATCTTCCCCACTGATATCGACTCTGCGGAGGAGAAGAGCGAGAACCTGCGGACAACTCCTCATTCCTGGCCTCGGGGGAGGCCCTTTGGTGGCTAGAACAGAAGGCAATGGAGGCGGTTCCTCTGGATACAGAAGCTTCCAGATGAGCGGAGTTCATCGTCATCTTCAGTGCCTCTGCGCCGCCTCTTGAGCAGCCCGTTGAATCTCCGTGACAGCAGTTTTCCGATCCATCTCGCCCTGAGAATCCCTTCACCACCCACATCCTTACGCCGCCGAGCGCCGGGGGTGGATCGCCATCCATCTCCTCCTGCCTGAGGCAGGAGAAGTTGTGGGTCGCCCACTGGGCTCTGTAGGACACGCCGGAGATGGAGTTGATCTTTTCCTCTCTGGTACCAGCCGATTCCTTCTTCTCGGAGAATCTGCAAACCCGGCGGCGCGCCACTATGAACCCTCGGAATGGGAGTCCCTCCGCCGCCGGCGCAGAGCTCGGCGGCGGAGCCTCCGAGTAGTGGTGCCACTCCGCGCTCACCATCTCCGCGCGCAGAACAGTGGGGGGCGAGGCGATGCCCTTACAGTCGGCGCCGGCTTCCAATGCCCTCTCATCTCGCCGTTGCAGTCCGACGCCCTCTGATGCCTCCGGGGAGGGGCTCCCTCTGGCAGACCGTTCCTTTTTCCGAGCATCGTCTCCGTCTCCGGCATCTGATGGAGGAAAGAGTGAAAGCGTTCTTAGCTTCCCACGGCCCGCCCATCGAGATCCGCAGGGCTCCTGAGACCCACTCCTCTGCGAATCCCCGAAGGCGCCCGCAAATCCCGCGGCCTCTCCGCGGTCAGGCATGGCGGCTTCGACCTCGGGGGGAGCTGCAGCGGGCGAGGGGCAGCTGGGCGGCTACGGAGTCAAGCCCTCGAATGGAGACGAGTCCCCTAGCAGAAGAAGTTGAACGCAGAGATTGAATCGGGTCTCATACTCCACGCGCTTGAATCCGACGCCCCTCGTCTCGTCGGGGATCTGGAGGAAGATGGCCGGACAACGTCTGCATCAACAGCTCACATCCAGATCTTCGTCGACCCTATTTCCTGGGATTCCGAGAGAGAGAGAGCACAGGGATAACTCGGAGCTGAAGAAGGGGGGCCTCAGAAGAAGAAGAAGATAACTGGGGAAGATTAGAACGAGGGTAATATCTCCGTGGGCAAGAATGGGGAAGAGAGTTGAGGGCAAGATTAGACCAACATCTCCGAGGACTCGACTTGCAGAGCCGCCACCACGATCGTACGGGCCTCGACAGATCGAGAGAGAAGAAAACTCAGAAGGAAAAGGAGCGAGCTGGAGGAGAAAACGAAGGACAACCGTTAAAAGCCGGGCGTTGACCCCAGCCCGAACTGATCCTCCACACGGGAGGGAGAGGAGAAAAGCCACACCAGACCAGTGGAGAGGGAGGGATCGCTTTCCTCACTTTCGCGGACCCCCGGAAAGAGGAAAGTGGAAAGAGGGGAGGGCGATCGCCGCCGGGTTGGATAAATATCTTACGGCGATATTTTATTAAAATCGAAGCGGTGAGCGCACCCCGCAAGCAGAGAGCATTTTTTATTTTGAAAAAAGAATATTATGACGACAGCACAGCAGATTTATAAGGTATATACCCTCTCTCCCCTGTGGGGGCCTCCATTACATTACTCAAAACACTTTTTGCGGGGCCCACGGACGAGAATATGCCGGCGCCGCCGCTGTCGGCGGCGGGCTCGGGGCGAAGACCGGGAATCGACCACCTTTTTGTGAGTCCTGGCGGAGGAAAGAGAGATGGCACAATACCTAAGTGGTCGGTGTGAAGATAGATTAACGGTGTCCACATGAAATCTTGGCACAAGCAGTCTTCCTTCCTCCTGAATTTTCACGGATAAATATTCTTAGAAATTACTAAACGGGCTGAAGTTTTTTGATAAGCTGCTAAACCTATATGTTGATTTTAAGCAAACAATGTCTCCATGCTAAACTTCTTCTAAGCAAGAGATTTCCTATTTTATTTTATTTTATTTATTTACCATAAATTAAAGACAAACTCCATTTATCAAACTTATTGTAAAAATGAAAAAAAAATAAAATCATCAAAGGAATCTTTGATTTCATCTGATTTGCATGCAAAGGAAGGTGGACCTCTATTGAATGAAGGTGGAATAGAGTGCACTATCCTTCTGCGTACATGATATAATGGGGGTGGTTTTCGTAGGTAAACATAAAGCTTATACAAAAACAAAATGTAATTTGCCAATTAGACAGCTCAAAGCATGATGAGTCATTGAAAAAAAATAAGCCTTGGAAAAAGATTTGATTACCCATTGACCCAAGTCATGGGAAAAAAAACCATCATAGAATGTGGCCAATTAATCCCTAGATTAAAATATAGCTAATAGAAATGATGCAGAAGAAAGTAAAAAATCTGAGGGTCAATTCACTTTGTGATTATAAAATAGTGGATCATAAAATCAAAACAAGTGTGGGATTATATAATTAGTGTCTGAAATTTAAAAATGAAAAACTAAAACAAGAGAAAAATCTCCATGTCCAAAAGTTGTATGATCCAAAGAAACCCATAGATAACCATGAAGAGGTGGCTAAGAACTACATGAACAAGGGCCATGGTTTTAAAAAAATGAGCACACTTTGCCCATGAGAATGATCTCTAATGAATTCTTCTCTACAACAATCTCCAACCACCACATAATCTTTTGAAGTGAGCCTATTAATGTAGTTGATGACATTCATGAGCAAGCAAACTATTTTGTAACTTATATTCCCACTTAATGAATGGTTGTAAGAGAGAAGAGAAAAAATGTTATGAATAACACTAGAAGGAGATTCCTAACATACAAGTACATAGCACACATATGGCACTTCATTTCTCTACTACATAAATATCTTATCTCTAATGATTTTTGTCACAAAAAAACTCTTAGAATGCTCAGTAGTGATATCTAAAAAACCTAGTGGAAGGCACCATGCATCCATACAATAACTTCAACTTGTCATTTTGGAAAGTTTCCATTATAATGTTGTAAGCATGCAATTTATTAAAATTTTCATTTTTTTTCTCTCATTCTAGCTTAGTCTGAGATGAATTAATCATATTTAGAAAAAAGTTAGGATCCATGAGAGATTTTGTGATAGATATTGAGGAACATTTGAATTGGTGTCAATTCAAATAGAGTCAATATAATCTAACTATATCTTTTCCATTTCCTAAGTCATGATGTGAGACAAAGTTGACTGATTTTTTTAATTTGTATAGAGAAAACTATGTAAATCAATTGCTTGAGCATGTGAAAGGATTGTTTGTACTTTATAATCTAGAGGAGGCTCAATTTTAAGAAGAAAACAGCATTCTAATTTTTTTGTTTAGTCCATTATGTGTTCATATTGATTAGTATTTTTTTAAGTTTATGTATTTGTGTGTGGGAAGTTTGCCACATATGAGGTTTTGGTTGAACTCACAAATGTATGGATTTGTGTGTAGTAAAGCACACTATATATGGATTTGGAGAGAGATGATCTCAATGCAAGTGAAGTATCAATTTTGTAGGTAAAGTGCATTTGGCTAGCATCAATTTTGTTTCTATAATATTTCTCTATACTAGTTTCCACATATATCTTTCTCGAGGTGAATGAGTATATTCTCTCATTATTATTCTCATGAGACTTGTGACTTGTGGGCATTTTACGATAATGATTATGTTACAAAGTCAATCGTCATCTTCAAAAGATGACCTGGACCCCCTACGTTGATGGGGACCATTAAAGAATAATGGACAATGACTTATATATATATATATAGAAGGTCCTAAATAATGGAAGGAGAAAAAAACCTAGAAGGTGAATGGGAGATTCTCCCCCTGACAAGTTCTGATTTGGGCTCATATGTTATGAGGATTAATTAGACCTCTAAAACAATTCTTATTGTTTCTTGAATCTTGTACTCAATTGTTCCTTTATCTCTCTTGATTCATTTACGAGCCACTTACTCACCCAAGGTGTATAACACTGGTATTAGAGTCGATTATTATGGTTGCTTCACTAAAGTTTGAAGCAACTATCATATGCATATGAGATTACAGAAGCAAGATGCTATTTACCATAGCCCTTGCAATGATCAAAATGCCAAGGTTCAAGGTGGATAGTCATCTTAAATTTTGATTGTAATATATTTCATGAAAAAGGTGGGAAGTAATTCTTCACACAATATCAATCAATCGACCTTCTCTACTACTTACCATAAAATTAAAATAGTAGAGGAAGATTTTGTAGAGCTATTATAGAAAGAATGACTAATCAATTAAGCTGAAACCAATGGCCAATAAATGTTCACTAGGCTTAGGGCACAATAGATGGTTTCATTAGAAAAGGAGATTGCATCACTAAAGCAAGGATATACCAAATAAGAACAAACCCTGAATGAACAAAGGGAAAGTATCCACTAATTTTTTTAGAAACTATCCACAAATATCTCCACTCCATTTTGCATCCTAATGAAGATTCAAGAGAAGAACCAAGACAACTATATCATAACACTCATTTGAATCAAGCCTCTCATGATGACTCAATGTAGGTAACTTATAAGATAGACCTACTAATTTTCCAAAGGGATGGTTCAAAGGGATAGATCATGCATTTAAAAAGATACTTCCACCTAAACCTAATGTCCAAATGTGAAAAACTCAAGTAAGTTATGCTGAGTATAGAGGGAGAAGCCCTTGAATGGTATCTCTAGATGGAGGATCAATTTTCATTTTATAATTTCCATGACTTCAAGAGTTTACTAGAAAAATGATTCAAAACATTTGAAATATGGAGTTCACTATAACAACTAATGATTATCTAACAAACTAATTTAGTGAGGGAGTACATGATTGAATTTGAACATATTAAGGTGTTAGAAGATGGATATATCAAATCTAAATCAATAGTGCATAAGTCCCTTGGACTTAAAAAAACTAGAAATTTATCAATTCAAGTTGAGATTCACCTCCAATAAATCAAAAGAAGCATACATGAGTTTTGTAAAAATCAAACATCTCCAAAGAATGAACCACACCAAGTTTGTCACAATACTTACAATATAAAATTCTAAAATACAAGTATCAAAAGTAATTTAAAAAGGACTACTAGTGTTCACCAAAAGGGAATTCAAAAGAAAACTCATTTACATCAAAACCTCTTCTAAGTAACCGCAAGATATTTAAACTAATAGACTATGAGTTTAAAAGATAAGAGATACAAGACTATGTTACTATTGTAATGAAAAAATTACTCTAAGACATCATTGTAAAAAAGAGTTAAGCATTATTATTGTGGATGAAAACTAAAAAAGATCAAAGAATGATGACATTGATAAAGTTTGAGAATCATTTGTTCAAGTCATAACCAACACTGATGAGAGTGTGTTTACTATACATGTATCCTTAAATTCAGTCATGATAATTACTCACCAATGCGCTATAAAATTATGGGACAGAATACATGACACATAAGTATCTGCACTTATTGACAGTGAGGTAACTTACAAATTCTTGTGCACCAAGGTTATTGACAACTTATCTTTGTATATTGAAGAGTTATATGAATACAACATTGTTATAGGCAATTACAACACAGTGACTGAAGTGAAAATCTATAAAATTATTCCTCTACATTCACAAAATGTCATGATAGTACAAGACTTCTGATCTTTAGAATTGAGTAATACGAATGTGATTTTTAAAATTTAGTGGTTAAGAACCCTAAGATTGATTCTTTCTAATTATGTGAAGTCTATTATGAAATTCATGATGGGGGACACAATTCACATTTTCAAGGGAGATCCTAATATTACAAAAGTCAATATATTACTAAGAAGAGTAGGGAAAAAAATTAAGAGAAATAATTAATATATGATCGAACTACACCATATTTACTAAAGTAATGACACTAGAGCACCAAATGATCTAGAAATCTGCTTGAAGTAAGAATTTTCTTACATTTTTGAAACGATGATAAAGTTGCCACATGAGCAATCTATTAACCAGACCATTCATCTATTGTCATGAGCAAGGCCAATAAATATGAGGCTTTACAAATTCTCTCATTCTAGAAAAATGAGATTGAGACATTGGTCCAAGAATTAATCTCAACAAAGGTCATACAACCTTCGCATAGCCTTTATGTGAGTCTTACATTCTTAATAAAAAAGAAGGATATGAGATGGAGGTTTTGTGTAGATTATAGAGCACTGAATAGAGTTTTAGTTCCTAACAAATATCCCATTATGATAGTGGAAAAACTACTAGATGAATTACATAAGAAATCTTTTTTTTTTAAACTTGATCTGAAATCTGGATTTATAAAATCAAAATGAAAAATTAGTAGGTTCTCAAGACTACATTCAAGACTCATCATGGCCATTATGAATTCAAGGTCATGCCATTTAGATTATCAAATGTGTCACCAACCTTCCAATCACTTATAAACTAAATATTTACGCACCAATTGAAGTGGTTCATATTGGTTTTCATTAATGATATTCTTGTTTACAACATCATGAAAATTGAGTATTTGCATCTCATGAGAAAGGTGTTCTCTATTTCTCTTTGATTTTGTTTTCATATAAATATCAAGAAATGTAGATTTGGGAAAGTAAACTAAAAAAATTAGGCCACTAGGTGTCTATAAAAAGAGTAAAAGTTGATAAGGAGAAAATATCAATCATGACTGATTGGCCAATTCTTAGAAACCTCAAAAAACTCCATAGGTTCTTGGGGCTCACATGATATTTTATTGCCAACGATGCTTCAATAGTGTGGCCACTGACTCAATTATTAAAGAATGATGCATTCATTTGGTTAGGAAAAGCCCAAGTTACCTTTTCTACACTTAAATAAGTGATGACTACAACACCAATATTAGCATTACTAGAATTTTCACAATAATTTACTGTAGAAATTGATGCTTTTAGATCAAGGGTTGGGCTTGTTCTCATGTAGGAAGGGTGCCTAATTGCTTATTTCAGCTAGACACTTCTAGTGAGAGTCAAGTTGAAATCAGCTTATGAGCAAAAATTGATGGCCATAACGTTGACTAGAAGAAAGTGGAGACATTATCTTATGTGGCAACATTTTATCATCAAAATAGATTAGTAGAATCTTAAGTTCTTGCTTGAACAAAAAAAAGTCTATGCCGAGTATCATAAATGATTAGTGAAACTTATGGAATTAAATATAAGAAAGAGAAGAGCAATAAGGTTGTAGATACATTATCTTGATCTTCATTAATACTACAAGCTAAACTAATTGACTTGATAACACAACACTCTATCAACCTCAAAGTGATCAAATTAGCTATGGACAAAGACGCTAGACTTAAAGAGATTAAAAACTCCTTGTTAAAAAGATGTATAGTCAATGAGTTATATTCCTTAATAGATGGATTCTTGCTATATAAAGAAAGGTTGGTTCTTGTAGTACATTTTCTCCTAATTACTTGAGTACAACTATTTCATGACAATCATGCAGGTGAACATTTTGGATTCCAAAAGGCATATCATCGGATTTCTCAATAATTTGGTTAACAAGGAATGAAAAGAGATATAAAGATATATATTAACAATTGTTCCACTTACTTACAGTGCAAATCATCTGCACTATTATCAACATGACTTCTTCAACCATTGCCGATACTTGAACAAATATGAGAAGAGCTCTCAATGGACTTCACTAAAGGTTTGCCCAAATTTGTATTGTTCTAATGTAATACTAGTGGTGGTAGCTAGACTTAGCAAATATAGTCACTTTATTGTCTTGCATCATCCATTCTCAACTAAGTAGATTGCTCAAGTATTCATCAAAGAAGTGAGAGTCAATGAGTTCCTAAAGATAATGGCCTCTAATAGAGGGTGGCTATTCTTAAGTACTTTATGGCAAGAGCTTCACACATTACAAGGGACAACTCAAATTCAACTCTTCCTATCACTCACAAATTGCATGATAGATAGAAGTAGTTAACAAATATTAAAGACCCCCTTAAAACTTATTAAATACAGGACATTCCCTTCACCTATAGACATTATAGATCAACTACTCTTAGAACATGGTGCTCTCCTCAAGATTCTTAAATTCAACATGTGTAAAGCACAAATGAGAATGAAGTCCAATGTAGATGAACATCAGAGAGAAGTTGAGCTTGAGGTCAGTGACTTGATATTCTTTAAGATCAAATCCTATTGGATGAAGTTTTTGGCAAAAAGGAAAAATAAGAAGTTCAATTCCCGCTATTTTGATATGTATCTTATTATGAAAAGAATTAGACCAATGGCATACAAACTACAATTGCCAAACTATTATCACACTATTATACTATTAGCATCATCATCACTGTCATCATCATCATCATTCTTGTTATTATAATAATCTGTTACGTACCTCGAGTGAGTAAGCAGCTCATAGATGAATCAAGAAAGATAAGAGAAAGATTGAGAAGAAGATTCAAGGAACAATAAGGAGTGTTTCAGAGGTAGAATCAATCTACATAACAGATGATCCTGAATCGAAACTTGTCAAGGGGGGAATCTAATGTTCATCTTCTAAGTTTTTCCTTCCTTCCATATAAGAAATATTTGAGGCCATGATATGTAAAATCCCTACATTTTTTCTAATTTTCTCTATTATAGTTGGCCAAATGGAACAAGAATTTACTGAAATAATCTTCTTCATGAAGTTTTGTCTTTTCTTTATCCAATTATCCAAAGGCTCCAATGTCATAATGGTGATGTCGGTGCTTCCAGAATAGATCGGCGAGCCCTTCATCTTATCCATGGATAGAAATCTTTACATACATCCCCACTGGATGTCATAATCGGTTCTTTACATTAAACGATTCCCTCCCTCATCCCCACCTTCAGAAACCAAAGTATTCAATAATTGTTCTCTTGATCCGTAGCTGAGAAACCCTGAAACAACAATCAAAGAGGAAAATGTCATTCACAGGCTGCATGCATCCACCTAATAAGGTGAGTGGCTGATATAAAAAAAAAAGAATATCTCAAAGAAAGAAAGCCTTACTTTAGATAACTGGATTAACAAATAATAATGGGAACTCTTCTTCCAATCTAATTATCAAAAAAATTGGCTTCTACAGTAGCCAACTATAAAAGTTATTTCCATAGTTGTGTCTGCAGTTCTCACATGTTTCTCTTACAACTAGAGACCCACAATGAACGCAAATCAAAACAAGGAATTTTTCAATGAGCACCAATCTAAAACCACAGCATTAACAACAAGAAAGTGGG